TCGTAACTACATGTGAAGAAATTTCCTCATAAACCAACATCTCCCCAAGGAAAAAATAAAGACAGAAGGAAAAAGATAGAAGCCAACTAATTCATCATATTTATGTCTCCAGAAGACCAGTTCAGTATGAGAAACTATATATGACCATACAGTACAGGAAAAAGGGAAAATGGAGAGAATCATCCTGAAGCATAGAAAAATGGGAAAGCAAATTTAAGAGGCACAGGTTGGCAAGAGATGGTCTATGATAAGTAGATAGGGAGAGCCATCCTCAGAGCTTTGCCCAGGAGGTCTCACCATTCTCATAGAAAGAAGTAGCCAGCTTGGTGTTCATCAGGATTTGAGTGATAAAAATTAATGTCTCCAGCTCTATGTGGTGATGCATGCCTGAAATCCCAGCATGGGAGGCTGAGGTAGAAGAATCACAAATTCAAGCCCAGCCTAGGCAATTTAGCAACTTACCGAGAACTTGTCTCCAAATAAAAAAAACATTTTTAAAGGGGCTGGGAATCCAGCTCAGTGTAAAATACTGAGCTCAATCCCCAATCAGTATTCCAAAAGAAGAAGGATGAGGAGGAGGAGGAGGAGGAGGAGGAGGAGGAGGAGAAAGAGGAGGAGGAGGAGGAGAAAGAGGAGGAGGAGGAGGAGGAGGAGAAGGAGTAAAAGAAGAAGGAGGAGGAGAGAAGGAGAAGACGAGGAGGAAAAGAAGGAGAAGAAAGAAGAAAAATAATGTTCCTCTCTCTCTATCAGGGATTAAGAAACTACCTCCTGACTACATATTGTCTATCTATGCAGTTTTTCCTACCCAAAGGGAAAACAGTACTAGACAAATCAGAATATTTCATGAGGCAATTGTGTGTTTCATAATACATCAGCAAATTTGAATATTAGGCCCAAGTGAGACTGATGGAGCACAGTGGGTCTGTCTCTGGATATAATCAGTGCAATCATTAATCACAGTGATGTCAAAAATGTACTACTGGCATGAATATTTAGTAAACATTCCAAATGCTATCTCTTTATGGTGGATTTATTTTTTTCAATTTTTTATTATTTTGGAGGTAGTAAAATACAACAGAACATGACAGAACAAAGCCAATTGAGACAATGCAGTGAAAATGGTACAGAATGTCACAGCAGGTTACTGGAATAACAGTAATAGGTACCATAGTATATCTCCTAATCTTCACAATAGTTGTTCGTTCAATCAGGTATAGCAAAATCAAACCAAATACAGAACATTATAGAACTTATCAACACAGAAAATTGAATAGAGCAATACAATTAATCAGAACAAAGCAAAACAGTGATAACAATATTTGCCTTCAAAGAGATGGTAGAAGGAAATCCCCCTTATTTGCTATATTACATATAATTCAGGTCAACCTCCCAAGAGATGCTCAGACCTCTGGCTCCCATTTGCTAACAGGGTGGGCGGGGATGGGATGTTTGATTCTCAGCCTGTTCACAGGGAGGCTCCTGGCTGTTTACCAGGGAAGCAAGCGGGTTGCTTTGTTTCCCAGCACCCTAAGTTCTAACATGAGATTTATTTTTTTGTAAGTGGGGGAGTAGAGAAGAATTGTTATTCTTCCAGGTTGTTTTGGGAAGATTTTCATGCATATGTGTGCATATGCTTTTTCCTGTGCATGTGGATGTGTGTGCACATGTGTATGTGTGTATTTGTAAGCAAAGAACAAATGAAAAATAATCTTTAAACTACAGGCTCAAGATACAGGCATACAGCAATGTTTTCAAGGGAGGTATTGAGTGTGTATGTTGAACAAATATATAAATGAAAGAAATGTATTTTATGTAAAAAGAATCCTGGCTTAATCTGTTGGTTAGTCAGTCCATTTTTTGAATAGTTGGGTGATTTATAACTGAATTGAAAATGTTTTCTGTAACATAACTGGAACATTTTGATCTGTGTAACTTAGATAGCACTATTCAGACTACAGTTGACCTTTAAATCTTCCTTACATGGAAATAACAATAACTGTAATACTTGAGGCTTTAAAAGTGTTATCTGTCTTGTTTGATCTTCACATTACCTTGTGAAACAAAGTTACCACCATCAGCAAAGGAAGGGACAGAATGGTGTGTGCCAAGGTCCAAGAACAAAGATGAGATGGAGCTCAAGTCTCCAAATTCCTGACTCACAGTCTTGTCTGCAGACAAGCTGAATGCCACAAGTCCATGCCAACCTGCCCTTGACTATACCACCCTCGCTCCTCCCTTTGCTGTATCTCATATGGGTAGAACAGAGGGCATGCAGCTTGATAGGAGCATCCTCACAGGTCCATCCTGGCACTATCTAAGCCCTGGCAGAGCCGGCAGTCAAGAAGATTGGGACCAGAACCTAGTCAGGCTACATCCAAGCCTTCTCTAAGGCAAATGCCCATGTGCTAAGAGCCAGCAGCAAAGCAGAAACACTTTCCACAGCAAAGAGGTGATGGAAGAGAAGGAAATGGGGGAACCCAAGAAGAACAAGCAGGCCTTGTATGGACATCAAACACTCCAGGGCTCTCCTCTAAACTCAGAGCATAGGACTTTGGAAAAACTCTGATCTGTGGTCATTTCAGACCATTGTAAAGACTACAGGGATTGGGAAAGAGGGAAAAGGGGGGGGCAGGTGGAGCGGAGAGGAGGGGCTTGACACATTGCTGAGCCTGGCTACATGCAGATCCGGAGTAGGGCCTGTCTCTCTTTGTAACCCAGTCATCCCTGACCTGAGCAGCTGTCTTTTCCTGATAAGACAGCTCCCCTGCCCAGTAGGGTAGCCCACAGCTACCAATGGGCCAGCCTGTACCCCCTGCTCAGCTCTTGGGGGTGGGCAGCTGCCACAATGAATCTCTTGTATAGAAAAGAACTGACGTGAATGGAATCAACCCAAATGTCCAACATTTGCCCATCTGTGACTAGAAGAAGGTCACAGGGTGACTTTCAGTCTAGGAGCCAGGCTGTGTAGCTGAAAGACTACCAACTTAAACAGCCGTAGGTTCAGAAGGTGAGTCTTGGCTCTCTTGAAGAAGCCTTTGGATCAAAGGTAAATCTGGGAAGACTGTGGGGTCTGATATGTCCAGCTCAGAGTTGAGAGTCTTCCTCTAAATTTCAATGAAGGGTTCCTCTAGGAGGGGATCATAGTTACACTCAACATGAAGACAGAATTCCCACAGGGAGTCAGCTACAGCCCAGAGCTCTTGCTACTCGTCCAGTCAGGGTTTTGCACCTGAAAATCTTCCTGACTCTGGACTTCTGCAACAGCCATCAATGACACGTCACTGTGACCCCTGAGTTGCCTAAATGAAGTGCACCACCAAAAGCTCTGGTGTTTCTCTGCAAGCACTAATCTGTTGCACAATGCACAGCCCAGGCCTGAGAAAGGTCCATGGCTAGAAAGGACAAAGACAAGAAGGAGGCAGGCAGGGCTTTGGAAGAGCACAGCTAACCTTTAAAAGGTGGCCCTGGACTAGAGACAACAGGGCTGCTGGGCTGACTTTGAGAAAAGTGCCCTGCAGGAGACACTACAGGAGCTGTGAATGGTACAAGATTCAAAAGGCACTGATGGGGGGCATCTCAAGAGGGTTTCTGGTTTATAAACTGAATGCCCCACAGTATCATTGAAGTGAACAGGTGAGAGGCTGAATTCCTTGACTGCTTCCATCTGTGGTGAAGCACAGTACTCTGAGCAGAGATTTGTCCCTATGGCACATTCCCTAGAACTTTGGAGATCACATCTATCATGCATGGAGTTCTCATTAGAAAGTCCAAAGAGTAGAAACCATCTGGCTGTGGTCACCTAGAGCACCATGACTCCAGGTCATTGTTCCCCTCCTCAAAACTTACAAGTTGGCAAACATAACTTTCAAGAAAGGAAAAAGACGTACAACACATCAGGAAGGTAATCATCACCAGAATCTCGCACATATTGGAATCCTTAGGATGGTTGCACAGCACAGTCTTGGCAGGTATTCACTGCATGTTTCCTGGCATCTCAGCTTGGCATCTCCAGAAAGTTCTCAGCAAAAGGAGGAGCAGGAAAGGTGGCTGAGTAAGAGCTGAGGTTGAGGTTGAAGTTAGAAGCTAAAGAACAAGGCCAACCACACATTGCAAAGAAGATGTCGTCCCAGAGTGGAAACACTCCACCTCTTCCCTATGCTGTGCTGTATGAGGAAGCTATAGTTGTAGGACTATTAACAGTGAGAGCATACAATCAGACAAAGAAGAAACACTGTGAAACAAAGACTTCCTCAAAAATCTAGATGTTTATGGAAAGAATCAACTTCAGGGACATATGACCCACTCAGTCATACAACACCTTGAGTTTAGGAAGACCCAGGTTTGGTTTAATGTTCTGTTGTCATCTTCAAGTTATTTCTAACTTCTAAACAAGAGGCCTCACATTTTAATGTTTCTCATGATACTTGAAAATTTTTTAGCCAGTATTATTTCTAAATAAGATTACTTGATTGTCTAGCATGAATATCCCTTTCACTTACATTAGCTTTTCATTTTCTCTCATAAACTAAATTACAAACCTGAGGGTCTGTCTATCAACTATCCTTGTTATTTGCCTTGAACCCAATTGGGCGTGCAGTTAGTGCCCAAAGTGGTACATTCTTTGATGTTCTTACATGGCTGTTCTTACATGGTTCTGTTTATTAATTAACTCAACAAACATAATAGGGCAAAAACTGGGCCAAACATTTTTACAAGATGCCCCACAAAATCTTTTAAGTTAGAAGGTTAAAAATAGTAACGACTTTCAGCAGGTGGCTATCACCAGGGTCAGGCTAGATTTTCAGCCTCACCCCCTACAAGTGAAATGATGGCCTCACCAGGAACTCACTACATTTTAAAGAAAAAAGCAGGACGACATGTACATGTATATGTCAGAGCAATGCCAGCACAGGCTTTTTTCCCATTATCTGCTCTCACGGGAGCCCTGTTTGGGGCCAGGAATATTAATGCTTGGCTGCTTCCTATTTCTCTCTTGACAGGAGTGAGTAATGCCGAGGCACGGCAGCCGGGCAAGTCTCCCCACTTCAGTGTGAACTGGGTCGTGGGCAATGCAGACCTGGAGATTATTAATGCCACAACTGGGAAGAGGAGCTGCGGGGGCTCATCCAGGCTCTGCAAGCACGTGTTCTCTGCCCGGTGGGCACAGCTATATGGTAGGGTAGGTGGCACCTGTCCTTTCTGGGGAAAAGCAGGCTACCGCTGAATTCAGACTGAAGTCCTCAGCCAGCTCAGGGTATGGGCCGTCATTTGGTTTGTAATGAGGGTACTATGGCAGGTTGCAAAATCCAATTCCCATGCCCTTCCCCACCCCACCCCAAATGCCCAAACCAATAGCATTTCCCCTGTAAATTTAAGACACCGTTACCCAAGTGCAAGGTCCCCAGACCAGCAGCATTACAGTTCTGGAAGTGTGGATCTAAGAAATCAAGTAGCCAAGGAGTTTATTGATGAGCATTTAATATGGCTATGCAACATGGCAGTTACTTTACCCAAGGTATTGTTAGAAAGGTACACACAGCTTTTAAAATCAAAGTTATTATTAGATTAGCTATAAGGACATTAAAGCTCAGAAAAAGTGGGTTACTTGCCAGAATTTTACAGGGTTAGAATCCCCCCTCAACTCTGAAACCTACTCATTTCCATGACAACAATGATTTGGAATCTACTTTCTCCTCCATAAATAGAGATAGTGATTATATTTTCCTGAATTTCAATAGCATAAAAGACTATAAATAAAAAAAGAACAAATAACTGGGGAAAAAAGCCAACAGGTAAAAAGTGTTTGTTCACTTTCTATACTTTTTTTTAACCAGGTAATAACTCCCAATAGAAGTAACAATGTTGTTTATGTTTAAACATTTTCATCAGTTTAGAGAACACTGAACATCACGCATATATCCCTGAGCTTCTGCCTCTGCCACAGCCTTTGCACATGGACACTGATTTGTGGCCAGGCATCCTGTTTTAAAGAAAAAGCAAAGCTGAGCTCAAGTTTTACACACAGGTGTTCTGTATGTAAAACTTCTCTGGTAAGAGCTCCTATTTCTGCTGGCAGTTAATGTCCTCTCTCTCCTTTCTGTCCACAGCTGAGTACACGGATACCAATCCATGGGGATACGCCGTCCATGTACTGTGAGGCCAAGCTAGGGGCTCACACTTACCAGTCTGTTAAACAGCAGCTGTTTAAGGCTTTTCAGAAAGCAGGCTTGGGCACCTGGGTGAGGAAACCACCAGAGCAAGATCAGTTTCTACTAACTCTCTAAGTCATTAGACTCCTTTGCTATTGGACCACAGTGAAACATCTGGAGAGGATGGAGTCGTGTGTGGAGCGACATGGCGTGTCCAGTGGTTCTCGGCATTCATTTTCCTTCAGTGTTCCAGAAACACACAAGTTCCATGTTTGGATGAGCAACTAGATTTCAATTCAGGACATGCTGCTTTTCCTTAAGTTGCTAGTCCCAAGAATGCTGTTCACCATACCTAGAGGTACAAGTGCCATTGTATCAGCTCCGTCTCTTCTTGGTTGTATCAAAGGAAAAGCTTGTAGTCTGGTGAAGGGAGCTGAGTTGCAGCCTTGACAAATGATACTAAAGTGTGGCCAGTTAGAAACAGGCCCCATGAACCATCCTCTGGCTTCCTTCCCTTACCATAAGCCTCTCTAATGATGTGTTTGGGTCTCACTAGCACAAGTTTATGTGACACTTGAAGATAAGCCACAGTGAAGAGAAAAGCCATGGGCTCCCCCCAAAGAAACCAACAGGAATGCTCTATTATTTTTATTCATTTAGATGTCTTACTTCATCTTTTTTCAAAGAGGATTTGAGATGCACAACACTAAAGAACAACTAAAATAAGACCAGAGGAGTGAAAACCATTCTTGCAACACAAAGGAATGCTTATCCAAGGCACCAGTGAGTGCTAATCTATGAGAAAACCATTTCTAACCCTCCTGTTGAGTGTTACAAACCAACACATACCTATTTAGTCAACCACCACACTTCATTTCTTTTGGCAGATAAGGATAGATAGTGAGATTTGAGTCCTATAAGGGTTAGCCACTACGTACTCTCCCTACAACATAAAAGCAAACTGGATCATATGCCAAATTCTAATTATTGAACTATATATTTGTTAGAAAACAAGCACCCCAAAACCCCACATTCAAAATGACTCTCAGGTTTAAAGTTTTATTTTAGATTTTCTAATCACTATTTTGCATAATGAAAATAACTTACAAAATGCAACAGGCAGGATTCTACCACCTTTAAAATAGCCATCAGACCAAGTCCATACCTGAACATAGGACATTTAGAGTTTAGATAACAGCACTATTCCTGAGAGGAGAGGTACTAGCTTCACACATGAGAGAGTTACACCTTTAATATATCTTCTGTCAATACATATTCCTTGAATTATTTTCATTTTGCCACTGAGAATTCATTTTGAGCATTCATCATGCCAGTTAACAAGTCTCTAATTTTCCCAACTTAAAAAAATTCTTATCTGAAGTACATTATGTTAAATAACCAAATATAGAAGTAGTCACTTCCAGACTACAGGTTCCCCACTTAGAATTCTAACTGACCACTCCACCGAAACACAAGTATTACATCATGCTATATACAGTGTAGTGTAAATGGCAGATATCATAACAATGTGCATAAATGAAACAAACTGTGTTGTAGCTACTTGATATCAGAAATCAGGAAGTAGAGATATTAGTATGGAAATAGAAACTTTTCCTGGAATTTTATGAGGTCAAATCTATTACTCAAGTCCTTTTAGGAAAGAAAATGGACACTGTAGTGACAATTTCTTTAACATAATTTTGAAAGACATGAACATATTTTGCATGTAAATGATTCATAATAAACATTCATAAAAATTGAAGAAAATGAAATACTACTTCAATGTAAAAACTAAGATCAAAGGACCAGTTTAGATTAGTTTCTGATAGAAACCTAAGAGAACCATAAAACCTTGACAGCCAATTGTGGCTTAGAAATTGACTCAACCAGTAGATATTTAGAGCTGATCTTAGAAAGTCTAGGGGCACAGTTGGCTTCTAATTGAGATTTAAGACTCTAACCTCAAATTACTGAAATTACCCTAACCTCAAATTACTAGGGAAAGACAGCCTTCAAGGAGTGGGGTGAATGCTTCACAGAGTTGTGCTCCAAACAATGTTCTTTGTAGAATAAGAAGATTAGCAGCAGCAGCAGCAGCAGCAGCAGCAGCAACAGCAGCACCAGCAGAATCTTAACCATGATGGACAGAGGCTGGTGGAGCCTCCCATTAAAGGGATCAGTTAGACCCACTCATATGATCTGATTCAAAGAACATGGAAAGCAATTACCTTCCCAATAACTAACACCTCTACATGACACATGCATGTGGCATTTACTCACTTGGTCTAGGCATTGGCTCTTCAAAAGAAAACAGACTTAACTAAAACACAAATATCTACTTGTAAGGAAAGCTACCCACTGACTCCACTTTACCCTTAGCACTAACACTGAGTCACTTATTAAGTCAATAGGAGATGACTGGAAGGAGAGATGAAGACTTTGCAAAGCATTGTAGAGAGAGAAGAGTTTGCCAGGCACCTAAAAGTAAATCTGAGAAAATGATATCTTTCACATCTACCTTTCCAAATAGATATGAGATGAAATGGGAAGATGGAAAAAGAGGATCCCAGGATCAATCAGTGAAAGGAGAGAGTATTGAGGCAAGCTATGATGAGCAACGTGCTGGAAAGCCACGGGCTAGGGAAAGACAGCCTTCAAGGAGTGGGTGACTAGAAGGGAGTTAAGAGGGAGAATGAAAGGATTATATGCATTTATTCTCTGAATCAAACAGAAAGCCAAATTAAAACTGCACACCATGACCAGATGATGCTATGTATATGCTGCTCCTGATTGCAGAAGCCTCACCCAGCTTAGATGTGGCCAGCTGCAGGATTCTGGTGTAGTTTCTGGTGTTCCTAGAAGAGACAAGTCATGTTACCCCCGAGACTAATGGGCTAGTAGTGGAAGCCTGGATACCTCATTCTCACTTCAGTGTTAAGAAAAATATCTCAACAGTACTCTAGACTAGGTCTTTTTTGACTGCTGAATTAGTCTTAAAAGAGCTCATATACACCTCCTGAATGGTGATTTCCGAAAAGAGAGCAAAACACAAATAGGTGTTATATAGAATTTAACCATACCGAAAAAAACATAACTGGGAAAAACAAAATGAAAATACTCAAAGAATACTCAGGCACCTAAGTTACCTTACTAGCACCTCCATAATTATTTATGCCTCATATTACATAATGGCTCAAAGTTACTTGCTTTCAAATTTTCTGTACCCTGTATTCATATCTATTTTGTTCCACTACTAAAACCTAAATAAAATCAATATCATGCTTATTGCCTTCAAAACACATTGCTTTCCTTCTACAGAATTGAAAAAGTTAATGTTTCCTGCCTCGTTCTTAGTCAAAAAGTCAGTGTCTGATCATTTGTGAGCCTGTTTGCAGGACTGAGCCCAGGAGAAAAAGCCATGAGGCCATACAAGTTGTGCTCGTCCACCTCCAGCACAAGGTTTCACAGCAATGTATAATATAAAATTGTTGAATTTAGGATTTCTTTGGGTTTTGTTTTTGCCAATGAACGGATTTGTGAGTCTATAACTATTGTTTCCTTTTTTTATTCCTGTGATTCTCTTTAAATCTGTATATACCTCTCATACCATTACTGATTTTGTGATGTCTTGTTTCTCAGAAATGTCAAGCTGAGTTGCTTTTCAAACAAACACATAGTTCATATTTTTTCATATAAGTTCCTTTTCACAGGAAATAGTTCTTATCAATAAAGTTAAATTTTTTCAATATAGTGTTTACCATATCTGGAGAGCCATAAACAGTAAATACATAGTATATCAATCCCCAGAGTAGAATAGGTAGAGTATTTTGATGAAATCCTATTTTTAGATTATAAATTTTAAGATGAGTCTATAGAATCTTGTTTTAAAAAAATTAAAAAGACAATTGAGACGTAAATCTAGTAGGCATTTTTAATTTAGGAAAACTTAGATACTTGTTTTTTAAGAAGCCATTCTAATATAATCATCCAATTGGCCAAAACTAACACAAACATCACTTTCTAATAGTAACCAATGGGATGTTAGAAAAAAATTCGTGTTTTTATGTACTATCATTTGATTGCTACAGCCACATCTTTGACAGAAGTCCCTCACTTAGCACTCAGCAAAACCTGGTATATCTTTGCCGGTTTCTCCATCATCATTTTCTAACGCAGCTTGCAGAGTCTATAATCTAATTCAGGATCAGGGAATCCACTGTCTTGCACATTTTGAAGATCTAGCCCCACTTTGAGTTTCGGCAGAGTTCATACTAGGAGTGAAGAATTAAAAGCTTTCTGCTACAGAAAAGGTCCATGATGTAGCTCCTACCTGGACAAACCTATCCCAACCCTGAGGTCCTGCAGGAAGTTTATGTCTTGCACAGATAGAGCAGAAATAATACATGTGAGGGACAGTGTGGGGGCAGATGGAAAGGACCCTGTGAAGGAGGATGCGGACGGGCGCACTTGTCGTTGTCCATGGTCCTGACTCACTGTTGAACTTTAAGAGTGCAGCTGTTACTGGGTACTCTGGGATAGGGCACCTCCAAATTTTCTTCTGACTCAGAAAAAGTAAAGGATAGAGGGAGAAAGCAGAGACAAAAACATCGATGTAGACTACCAGAGACAATCATACCTTTATTCTCACATGGTTTCTCCTATCTCTCAGTTCTCTTTGCTCATTTTTCCACAAATTCTACCTCTTTTGATTCCTTTCTCATCTTTTTTCTCTCCCTCATATCCCTCTTACCATTCCTTTTGTCTGCTCTTCCCTACCCCTGTACTTTGCTCTTTCATTTTGATTTCCTGGAGTAACAGAGAGGAATGAAGTCTCAGGTCTGCATCTACCCCTGAGCTGATCTATGCATGCAGCAGATTGGTGCTCAAGGTGAGGATGCCCCTGTGTGTTCTTGTGATACCTTGACTACAGGGACTTTCAATGGTCTTTTTGGACTCTTGAAATATTTACATCCAATCTGACCTCCTATCAAAAGGAACACAGATGACACATTTCTAGAAATTTAGACCAGATAATATCATCCCTGCAGGGAATTGTGCCCTGTACCAAACTCTGGTGAAAGAAGTACCTTGTTTCCCTAATCATCATTTTGAATTAAAAGTTAAAGAGATGAAGTATCCTTTAAAATATATATATATATAATTATCTGGATTCTATTGCCTCTTTTCACAAGGCACCAGATTTCTACCACTCTGCAGTACATGCATAAGTAAAAACAAAATCTTTCCCAGCAGTGCCCAGTTAATTTTCAGCATTTTTTAAGCAAAATGAACTCAATAAATAGTAATTCTTAATTGAAAGTATGTACATAAAAAGCATGATTGAATGGCAATATAGTACCGATGAGTGTACATTTGTAATATTTGTAAAAAAAAAAACTTCAAAACCTTAAAATATGAATTTACATATGTTAATTTGCCTCTAAGTTCTGTAAATTGCACTTCGGTGATATCTAATAAGTGAATGTTTCTGTTAAGTGAATAAAAATATCAAGTAAAATTGGGTTTTTTTTCTGGATTGTGGAGCCTTTTTGATTGAGTAGAATCCCAGCTATCTCTGGAATTCTTTAATGTGTGGGTTTAATTAGAGGTAAAGGAGGTTCTGCCCATTCCAGAGAAATGGCATATTCAGCTCTGAAATGTTTTTCTCTTTGTAGTAGTTACATTAATCAGTTAAAGAAGCCAGAACAACTGTTACTAGCTCAGACATTACCCTTATAAATTTCATGTAAATGAACTAGTTAAAATATCATAGACCTAGGAATGAAAAGACTTACCTTCTAGCCTTCAACCAGCATCTCATTAACTGTATAAATGAATCACTTTATGCATGACTTTGCACCTCCACTTTCTGTCAAGCATGGGAAGGAAACAAGACATCCTACAACTTCACGAGATTGTCAAAGGGAATCAGTGAAGTCAGAATGTCACAAAGCTTTGAAAAGTTAAAGCATTATAAATATTTAATATATTCTGAGTTTCACACCCAACTTTGTCATCTGTAACATGAAGTACAAGTGTGGATGATAATTTTCCTGTATAACAGAAAGCAGATGGATATTGAGGTATAAGAACAATGTAAAACTATCACCTAAACATGCTTGTAATCTCAGTTTTATATAGCATTGTATGCCCTACATAGTCCAGAATTCAGATGAGTCTTTTTCCAATAATACATTTTTTTCCTTTCCAAGGACATAAGTTTGAACACAAGTATGTCCAGAAAGAGATATGTTTGCTAGCTAAAGGGACTTCTATTTTCATTTTTTCCCTAGAAATAGACAAAATTACAAAGGTGCTGATAATAGGTTTTGTATGCCATCACTTGAGTGATCATGAGTGAGATTTCTTGTTTGAAAGTATTCTCCTCATCCATCAAAGTGTCTGAAATTCTACCATACATTTCCTTCAGTACAGGATATTTCATCCACTTTTTTCATTCTCTACTTATCTCACATCAACTACAGTGATGCTTAACACAAGTGATAGCACACATGAAATCTCAGGTGAAATGTAGAGTCTGGAGATCTAAAACATTGCAGAAAGATCTTTGATGCCATTCCTTCAACTTCAGATGGGGGAGTAGTTCCTCTTGGTTGACTATCAGTGTTGTGTACAGCTTTTCTTTTTTAAAATCTGATAGTAAGTTACCCCTAGTTTAGGTAATTATGAAGAACCATGGTTATTAGTAGGAACTAAAAGAGACCTAAAAGTATAAATAAGGTTAAACAAAAATTTCATCTGCATTGTGACTGATACGCTTCAGGACATATCATCCAAATCGTCAAGCTTTGAAAAACCTAAGAATCTGATGGCCGTGATTCTGTATTGGTCAAAAGAGAGAAAGATCTCTAGACTATTCTTTTTGTGGCTTCCCAGAAATGATTTTAGGACTATTCAATGTCTTCTGTCACTCACAGAGGATGACCTCCCACCAGAAAAAGAAATCTATCATTCTTGGAAATGAGAGATTCAGTCCTTGGTAACCTCTTTAAACTTAATGGTTCTGTATATCCAAATCATTCTTCCAGCCACTCAAATTCCTGCCTTCCCTAGTCTGGATGTTAGTTCATTTCTCGTGGCATTTTTCTTTCTTGTTGAGAATGGTTTTTAAACTATGAAACATGAATTTTATGATATATTGTCTTAGTAAAAGGTTTCAGCTAAGTGTATGTTCCCAAGGAAAATAACTGAAATTCACTCTGATCCTTAAATTTTGATAGGTGTACATGAGGGCTGAAGGACAAAATAGCCATGGCAGGGGTTTTCTAAGCTTGAAGATTGATCACACCCTTGTCCACTTTGGAGCTATTAAATCACGTTCCCTTGGTTTGCTTTAACTTGATGACAGAAATACACTCTTCCAAGCGAGTTTCAAAAAACCACTACCTTTAAAGGGCCAGCTTTCTAAAAAGTCTTTCTGTCAACAAAGATGAAGCATGAATAAAACCACAAATAATAATGATGATCACAAACTGTGACCTTCTCCAAAGCTGTCATAGTCAATCACCTAGCCTTCCAGAATTATAGGTTACTTGACTAAACCTAAAACTGGACTCACTAACAATTCTGGTATTTTAAGTATTCCTAATTTGCTCAGAACTTAAGAGTTGCTCCTGAGTTTTGACTAATGTCCTGCATTCAGTTTTGGGGAAGAGCTTTCATGAACTTGCCAAACATGAATGATTTGGTCATGAAAATATGATATCCTTCAGAACTAGAAGGCTTAATTTCCAATTTTTGATATACTATTAATAAATTGTGACTTTGGGCAGGTAATATTACTTGTTTTTTCAGGGGCTTCAAATTCAGAATAGGGTAACCCCTGCAGAACTGTGGTACAATCAAACCAAATAAAGTTGAGGCTCTCTTATACTGAAAAATGCCGTTTAAATATCAGCTGCTTTTCTTCAGGGCATGGAGCACATTTGGCAGGGAACTCAGGTGAATGAGTAGCTTCTGAAAACAGCTCCACTCAAAGACACTATGATTTTGATGATAGCAATATTGCTCCCCAGGGTTAGGGAGTATTAAGGGATGTCACAAGGAATTGCATCCATGCAGGGTGATAAGCTGTCCTCAAAAACAAGATGATAGAATTGTTATAGAGCCTGAGTCAGGAAAATAATCGGTCATATAAATATAATATTTTGAAAGAGGTATATGCAGACTTTGAAAAGATTGTTATTAACCAGAAGCACTGAAGAAAAACATAATTAGAAGATTAAAGGCAAAATTTTGAAACAGTGACATAATAAAGGGAAAATAACAAGGCAATAGACAAGTAATGGATGGTGTATTATTAGGAGGCCAGAGAAGGTAAAAGTGAGATAGAGTCATCAGTCCAAGAGAAGGCTGGTCAACTGAAGAGCTCTTTCAAGCATGGTCAGTACAGGGAGTTGAGGGAATACTGCAGAGACACAACGGACCATCCCAGAGACAGTACAGAGGGAAGCTCCAAAATTGGCTGCTGGCTGGCCATTGCTTACACTCTGTCCTGGACTTGCCTTTCCCTGGGCAAAGGACAGATCCCATTGTGAGGCTTTGAAAGAGGTCCTAGCAGAACATTAACTACACCAGGACAGCTACTTGAAGTTGTTTTGTCTGTCTGTCTGCCTGTCTGTTTACTAGTATATCCTACTGCCTCACATATAGTAGGTTAATAAGTGTTAGATGTCTAAAAATTACTGTAAACAAACGAATAAGCATTTCATTCCTGGGGGAACCCAGGAATATCAACATTTGAGCAAGAGAAAAAGGAATCTTTGTAAGCACCTGACACAAATACAAATTTTAATTGTTTTTTAAATCCAGACACTTGGACCAAGAAGAGAGTCCCTGATCCCCCATTACCCCATTTCCCATTTGCAAAGTGTAGAGGACTGTGCTCTCTCTCTCTCTCTCTCTCTCTCTCTCTCTATCCCTCTCTCTTTTCTTTCTTTCTCTCTCTTCCTCTCTCCCTTTCTCTCTCCTCTCTCTCCTTTTTCTTTGTCTCTTCCACTCTTCTTCTCTCTCTCTCCTCTCTCTCTTTACTCTGTTCCTCTCTCCCTCCCTCTCTCTCTCCCTACACACACAACACCACATCTAGAACCTGCATCCCACCGTTGCATGAAAACAAACTTCTGTGGGAAAGCTCCTCCTTTAAAAAGCTTCTGTTCACACTTGTCTATGCTGCTCCATTTCACAAACACCAGCTCAACAGTCTACTGAATGACATCGTTTCTTTGTTTTTTGTTTCCCCTTAACTTCACTAAGTGGATAAATGTCCCTTGTGACTAGAGGCTGCCAGAGCTGAAACAGCCATGTCATGCCCTAGTACTCATGTGACACCACCACAGAAATCTGTATGTCCCCAGAGCCTACCAATTAGGGTTCGGGCTTATTGAATCATGACCATCAGGTCCCATTGTGTGAGCACAGACTCTATAACACAATTAGTGACAAGCCCTTGGGAACCTTAGCAAGGCACAGTCAGAGACCCCAGGCCATTAGGGTCTCCAGCTGGAAGCCATGCACCTCAGTCAGAAGGAGTGCCCAAAGGATCTGGCCTCAGGTCCCTCAAGGACTTCAGGAAAAATCACCAGAGGCCTTCAAGAAGCTGGAACATTGTCAAAATAGGTGTTATGGCTTAGAGACTGTGAGTAAATGGTTACTTGCTGAACAAAAGTGATCTGAGACCAGATGTATGATTTCAGTGCTTTGCATGTAATGTGTCAAAATCTGATGTGACTGAATTAAAATCAATGAGAATATTACTCTCCAGAACTAGGTTCCAACTGTTTTCAGGAAAGACACCAGACAGCTGCCTGGGAACAGAAGTAGAGGACCCCAGGCCAAGTTGGAAACTTCCCTGGGTGCTACAGAAGGGCTTGAATCATTACCTCAATTCAGAGAGGCTTTGCCCATTCTCCTGAACATGGTAAATGTGTAAAGAGACATATACAGAGCTATTTTTAAGAAAACTAAGTTAAGTCCCCACAGAGACTGAACCTCCACACTGTGCTTTATGCTCTAATAATACCTAGCTGCTAATAGAACCAAACATTCCTGTGTCCTAGTTCATACTGCTCTTCCACATTTTCTTAGAGTCTCCAGAAAGTTAGAGCCAATAAGACAGGTGTATAGGCAAAGGGAAAGAGATTTATACTAAGGAAATGGCTCTGATAACTCAGAGCACAAGAAGCTCATGAGAAAAGTGCGCAAAGGAGAGAGTGGGTGCTGTGTATTGACACTCAGCATGGGGTGCCTCTCATCAAGGTTGGACCGGCCACTGCTAAGACCGAATCTTAAAATCTGTCAGCAAAAGAGGCCAATGATCTTCCACCGACAGTGCACCATCCTTGAAAGAGAACAATCAGCCACTTGCTGACAAATTGATTACATCAAGATCCTTCTCCCCTAGAATGGGAAACCATTCATCTGGTGATAAGTTTGTCTTTCCTGTGTACAATGCCTAGCCAAACCCCTATCCAAGTGCAGAGTATCTGATGTGACAATATG